AAATTTTTAAAATTTTGAATTAGATGAAGGTTCACAGCACAGATCAGTTTTACATCCAACAATTTGTGTACATAGTGCTTCAACTCACAGCAGTGGCTTCTTATAGGCTTGAATGCTGTTGCTTTATTCACGCATCAGGTTTGTGGCACATGCAATGTGGTATCATCAGGAAAGTGTTTACTCCCTCCCCATCCTCCTCATTGTTATAGATGGACAAATGAAAACACAGAAAAATCAAGTCATTGGCTCAAGATGACAGACCAAGGACCTCACAGGCTCTCAGGCCACTGCATACCCAGCCCTTTCGTAAACTGAATGAAAATATGGATCAAAATGTGCTGCAAATGTTCTCTTCTTTTAAACACACTGAATCGTAGTATCAACAAAAACACGTACTAAATCACATTCTTACAAAATGATATAGGGAGGGGGTGGGGTGGGAATTAAGCAACTTAACAATACTGACCCCTTATCATATTTACTTTAGGCCCAGGAAGAAACTGGAAGTCTGCCAGGATGACACGGGAAGAGCAATGTAGGGAAACAGAGGAGAGACTTTGGACACACATCCAGACACTGCTGGACCACAATGAGCAACTCAGCACTTCACGATGACCAACCATTTGAGAGACAGGGGTGAGACCTACCACGAGCATGTTTGACTCGTGCTGTGACTCCAGAAAGGGTAGCTGTGTGTTAAGAACACTGCCACTGTCTCCAAGTCAGTTTACACATTTAATATCCTTCCAACTAAAATAAATGTAAAGGCAAAGACAGACCAAAAAGAATATCCCACAAAACGTAACAGTTAGAGGGCGCAGACCCAGAGTTTACCAGGTTAACAACGCTTTGTGCACTGAAATGAAACCCTGTGTGCAAGAAATGAAACTGTATTTACTCAAAGACAGAACATGAACAATAGCTATCTAGGTCAAGAGGCAGGCAGACAGAAGTGAAATGCATGTGAGAGTGCGCCTGGCCACACAGCAGGCGTCAACAAGAGGACGGAGGGAGGCACTCGTCTGTAAATTAGCCAGTAAGAAAAGGCCTAAAAAAAAAATAAATCAATTGTGCTCTCTATTTTTAGCCAATGCTATTTTAAACCGAAGTAGGTTCCAGGCAGTGCTAAATAGATTTTGTTTTTAATTAAAAGAAGATAAACTAATTTTTGGTTAGATTTTTAGAAAAAGGAAATCAAGAAAAAGAGCCATACATTCATCTACATGAAAATACACAATCGAGATTTTTAAAAATTAGTACATTTCATTATTTTCTCTAAGGGGTTCTATAATTTGAGAATATGTATACTTTAGTAATAGGCGACATTTGGAGATCAAGAGCCTTTTGCTTGTGTTGCCTTCCCAACCGTCACAAGCCATGTGAGTCCAGGAACTGGTGCTGTGGGTTAGATGTTAGGCTACTAACAGCCAAGACAGTAACTCAAACCTACCAGCTGCTTCTCGAGAGAATGCTGCGGCTACCCACTCGAGTAAAGAGTGATGATCTCAAAAATCTATACAGGGTCTCTGTGAGGCAGTAGAGTCCTGGCAGTAGGATATATATTATTTATTTATATTTACTTAAATTAAACTAGAAACTAGAGATCTATGAAGATGGAATTGAAGTGGATTCTTAGATATTCCTATCAATAACTATTTCTACTCAATGATGATAAGTAATAAAAATAATAAAATCAATAGACTTTTTAAAAAGGCGCCAGTCAGAAAGCAAGGATGCCAAAGGAAGAAGTAGACAGGATTCATGCCCCCCTGCCTACAAGGCGGCCTGCATATGCTGACAGGTCGTAACAAAGGCTGAGGCCCATGGGTAAAAGGAGTGGATATAAGACGAAAGGAAATAGCTAAAACGAAAATGAGCAAGCTTCCAGTTAATGTTCCAATAGCGAATTTTCCCTGTTTCCCTATGCAAACATGACAGCTATCAAACACTATACCAATGTCCTTTCAGGAAGTGAAAAGGTATGGGAGAAGCCACCCTCACAGGTCAGCCCTAAGACTCCTGAGGATTGCAGGGTTTCAAGGATTACAGACTTCTCTCAGTACGCCCCGAAGCACATGCCTATCAGGAAGCTTGATCCAGGTACACTCACAAAGTGGCCAGCTCACATCAAGAAACAGTCGCAAGAGTCAGAAAACATTCTAGCTATTTCTGAGACAAGTAAAAAAAAAAAATCACTAAGGAGCTAGGCCATCTGCTTTCCACAACAGTCCAAACACAACTGCAGTGAAGGGCTCTAATCAAACGCTAAGTGTGCCAACTTCACATGTTTCTCAGACCTTGATTTCCATATACATAACACAGACCTGAAATTTACATTTATAATGATTGGTACCAGTAAAAAAGAGTGCTGCCCATGTTTCTCTCACCACATCTGCTATTCATGATAAGTAAAACATCATCAGGTCTTAGGATCAGAGAAAGAGGGAGGCTGGGGATCCCAGATGCCCACTGCAAAATTAAAATTCTTCATAGTGCACGTTATTGAAAAGGATCCTTCCAGTTGTGCCTGAGTCTTCTAAGAGTGTTCCTAGTAAAACGAGAGCTCGCCCACATAAATGAGGCATAAGGATGAAGTTGGGCTGGGTCTCAGGGGCTGTGAATTGGCAGACTGCACAAAAGGGAAAAGAAATGGAGTAAAAGTAACTGAACTCACCTTTATTCTGAGAACTCTTGGGTGTGAGGGGGCTTCAAAAGTTTGTGGGAAAATTCCATTATCTTCTAATTTTGTTTTTCCACAAACTTTCTGAAGTCCCTCTCCTCTTCAATTGCCAAAATTAGGAATGTCACCGTGGTGGTTCATTTTGTATTTGCAAATCATTTTTCCCATTTACTATGTTCCTTAGCTTAAAACAAACAAAAAAGACCAGGTACCATTTTGTGCTTGGAGTTTTCCCATGAGAAGCAAAATTCTGGGAAGTTCTGAACAGAAATCTAATTTAAGATGGTAAATGAGGTATTGCTTACTCTAACTATGTGGCAGAGCAGCACACAGGTGACCTAAGATCCCAAATCATCCCTCTGAGATTCTGAACCACCCACTTCATCTCAGGAAACTATACACTGCATAAATTAGCCTTGTATGTCTAATCTTCAATCAGAGTCTTCTCTGCTGGGTTTGCTTTAATTTACTCAAGCTTTGAGACTGCTTCTTAAGCTTCTATAAGAAGGCAGTGGTTTGTCTTCCAAGTTCAAACTCAGGTCCCCTAAGTCTTTTTAGTCACTTGAAGCTCTCCAGGTTGGTCTGTTGAGGGAACAGAGATAGACTGATGTGACCACTTCACTTCCTTCCCTGACCTCCCCTGACAGGTGAAGAACTTAAACACAGTGGATTCTCTGTGCATGAAGCCTTAGGACAATGCATGTATTACAGTGATCAGTCTTAAACTTGTTTTAATAGATTAGAAGCCAAAGTCGGGAAAGCAGGGAGAAACAGAGCAGCAGATGGATGGAAACGGGAGCCCACTTCCGGGGGAGATGGGAGAGTTCTAACACGTTATGGGGTTTCAATCACTGCCCTGGAGTCCTCTGTGCAAGAATTATGAACTGAAAAGCTAATGAGCTATGGAAACTGTCACCTAAAGCATAATAAAATGTCCTAAATAAATGTGTCCCTAAAAGGGGGGTGAGAACCACACACAGGACAGGGTGAGAAAGCAGGGAGCAGAAGGAAAGCTAGACCAACAGAAACAAAACAAACAAGGGAATGTAAATTAGAGACTGTGGACATAGTGTAAAATTGCAACCAGTGACACAGAGAAAATTTGTACACAGATCCTTAAGAGTGAGCCTAATTTGCTGTGTAAACTTTCACTTAAAATACAGTATTAATATTTTTTTAAAGGAATAGCTATGTAATGGTCAGGAACAGATGGACACTGAAACACTAGGAGTTGATCAACCACGGGAAAGATGATCCTGTCACTTATGTCATCAGTCACTTGGCAAATACTGATTGAGCCCCTGCTGTGCTCCGGGCACTCAACCCTCAGAAAGCTCAGTCTGAAGGAAGACAGAGATAAAGGCAAGCAACTCATAACAGATTGAGATCAGGGTAGCAGGCCAGTTACTAAGATTGCCAAAGTGAAGTTTGAGCTGGGCCCTCATGGCAGGTAGAAAACTGGGTCCTATGGGCTAGTGAGGTGGGGGAATATTCCAAGCAGAAAGACTGTAACACCTGCTGAAGTCCAGGTGTGAGGAGGCACTTAGCCAGCTCAGAGCCAGAGCAGGATAGCCTGACTCGAGAGATGAGGAGGAGCGGGGCAGGAGCATGACACTTCTGGAGAGGAGTGGTGTGAGCTAGGCTCTCTGCTCTAGGGCCATCCTTGGTACAGTTCCGATGTGGGTTGGTGGGTACCAGAGGAGATGGAGGCAAGAGAGCGAATGGACCTGGGGTAGCAACTGATGGAAAGAAAGAACATGCAGTCACAGGAAAAACAGGGCATGACATCCTGTGTAATTCAGAAAGATGGCCCTCAAATAATGTATGATTCAATGAAATTAAAAAATATGGAGTTGAGAATACAGAAACTAGCAGATTTTACAGTTATTTCTATTTCCTAAATATACTGAAACATGACCTGACTTTTCTACTCCTCATCGAAAATGTATTGCTCAACTATGGTATATCTAATTGATAGATTAGACATATAATCACCAAAAATTTTGACCAGAGCTGATAACTTTATGAAGAAAAAAAGTCACAATGATCAAAGTATAATAAATTTTCAAATGCAAAATGAAAAACTAGAGACACAGTATGATCAAGATAAAAGTGTTTTCAAAAGCTAACTATGTAAGTGTCTATGTCTGAAATAATATACTACTTCTGTTTGCTACTGATGGCACAGAAAATATCATTACAGTAAACACACTGAGAAAAGGAATCACACACATGGACTTTAAAAAATATTATCAGAACCTAAGCAAGTATCACGCTAGACATACTTCCCATGAAATGTCTGGCCAGGAGTCATGCTTACCTCTTTGTAATGAATGCAATGCTGACGTGAAGAAGGTCAAGTACCCAGGGGGCTGGGGTGAGCCGCTGAACTCAAAGAACCCAAGGACTCCAGGCTGCGGGAGCAAGAGCAGAAGTATAAGGCACCCACGTGAGAAAGGCTGCCAGGTGGGGCTTAACTTTCCCTCCATTTGGACCATGAATGGGGTAGGTGGGCAGTTTTCTGCAGTGGTCATTCAGGAGCAAATTCAGAGCTGAAACTTCCTATTCTCCCTAAGTCTGTTCCTCTTTCCACCCTCTGTTGTCAAATTCTAGGTTGAATTTCTGGTCCCAAGTGCTTTTGCTTAACAACTCTGTCAAGCAATGGCAGTAGCTTCCTTGTAACACTCCTGAGATTTGGTCTTCACTCACTAGCTTCACGTGGGCCTTCACACTCGATCAATAACAGGTTCAACTGATACTCCTTTCCAAAATCCAGTAGTCTACAACAGGGTCAACACCTCCACTACTCATCCCATGTCTCTAGGGTTAGCCTTTAGGCACCTCCACTCTGCTGACTCAGCTATAAGAAGCTAATTTAATGAGAGCAATAGTGAGCCGTATAGTGAGAAAGGCCACATAAAAGTGATCCACTGCACCACAGACCACAAAAAACGGTAACTGTAGTAAGGAAAATAAAAGGGCTCACCAAAGTGTCTGACCACCCCCGTCCCCCCCAAGTCAAATCCAATAGGCTAAATTCATTCTAAATGATGAATAAATGCTTCATTCACAGCCAGAAATTAAATAAAGGGTAACCGGCTTAGCTGTGTCCACATCACATTATACCTCAGGTGGCTGTCCACAGAAGTGGATCTATGCCCCGCGAACCTAAGGACACATGCCTGTGCATGATGCAGCTACACAAGAACACACATGAAGGAAAGTGACCCACATCGGAATGCTGAATCTCACAGCACTCTGCTCTGGTTTCACAGGTCGGATCCTGCCTGCCTCCTCCACTCCACCCCCGACCCCCGGCCTTTACACTCATGGCGCCAGAATGCACTTCTCCAAATGTTCTCAGGGGGCTCACATCACAAAAACTCTGCCACACAGCCGGCCTCAACTCCTAATAGCCCCACGGGACAGAGACGGACAAACCCACAGGGTCTCAGGCTGCCCTCTTCGTGGCACTGACATCTTTGTCCTGCGGTGCTGACCTTCCAGTTAGCAGCCAAGTCCTTAACCCACTGCGCCACAAGGGCTCCTGCATTACAAAGGCTTCATTTTCCTTAAGAGTTATCCTTGGCAAAGTTTCCCCTAGCTGCTGAAATAGCAACACATTCTCCACCCCCATTATCACACCCTTATTTTTTCCATGGCATTGATTATCTGAGCTTTTCTCATTCACGTGTTTGCCTGCTTTCTTCTCTCCCCACCCTGAAAAGGAGCTCCATGAAACAAAGGTGGTCTCTTTTTCACCTTGGCATTTCTAGCTGAGAGAGTGAGTGCCTGGCATGGAGCAGAAACAGGACAGCATTTGTCAGTGAACAAATGGGGACAGAAAGATAAGCAGAAGAGCTGCCCCACCAAAGCTGTAATTTAGCAAACAGCAAAATGTGAAAAGTGACAGATGATGGGTTTTCAATTCTGTTCCAGGACCTACCTGCTATCACGAGGAGATTAAAAATAGGATATGGAGGTAACATTGCTGGGCCAGCAAATCCTCCTCAGCACAAAATACTTCTTCCCAACTGGATGCCATGTGCAGTGTTGTAGGGATTTTAGCATCTGGTCAACACATCCCCTAGTGGCTATTTACATGAACTGTTTTTGCACTAATGTCCACTCACTCCTAGAACAATTCACAGTCTAACTACGTACAAGCAGAGAAGATATCTATTTAGTTAACATCCAAGGTGGGTTTTACATACAAACAATACGATTCTAACAGGCATGTGACTAGTCATTTACCTTGGCGTTTCTCCAAAATTCATATTTTTTTGTCACCTGGCAATCTACCAAACTCTCTACAGACATGTACACAAGGATTCTTAAGCTTTTCCCCCAATCCCACTTCAATTTATAGGAATTTAGTGTTCCAAAGCTACTAAGAACAAAGAGATAGACAGCCAACAAACCACATCTCTTAAACAGATCAATCACAGAAATTCCTTGAAAAATCAAAAGTGAACAGTGGTATGGAAGCCGTGACTACTGTTAGCAGCTGCGTGGAGTTGGCCTGGCTCATAAAGACTGCACGTACTTACAGCACTGTCACTTTGTCACGCAGGGGATTTTCACTGGCTGATGTTCACAAGTGGCCCATCAGGCCTTTCTTACGAGTCCATCTTGGTCTGGAAGTTCCTCTGAAACCCATTAAGCATCACAGCAACAGACATGCCTCCACTAACAGGAGGTACAGGCTGTGCCTGCGTACACTGACTGGGAATCACACCAGGGTCTCCTGCACCAGTTAGGGAGCCGCGTACCACTAACCTGCCACTGCCTTTGATGTAAAGCTGTCAATACCTAAAGTAAATGACTCCAGAAAAACCCTAAAATCGGAAGCACTCTAAACTAGTGACTTTGAAAATAGCATTACTGTTGCTCAAACCTGTTCCTTTTCTAACCAACTTGGTATCCACCAAACTAAAACAGCACTGGGGTCTATGTTTGTGCTCTCCGGTCCATATCCTAAAGACAGGACGCACACTCAAGGACGAGGGAGCTGCCAAGTGGAGTGGCTGCTGGCGGGAAGATCTTAAGACAGAGCTGCTGACCTCCCTTTGGGAGTAGTGGCCAGTGGTAGCTCCCTTCTGCCTTTAGCTACAGGGGTATAGGGCCTGTCAGGGAAGAAAACTCTAGATCAGGCGTCCTCAAACTACGACCCATGGGCCACATGAGGCCCGCTGAGGACATTTATCTAGCCCGCCGGGTGTTTTTGCCCTGTTTGTTTTTTTTTACTTCAAAATAAGATATGTGCAGTGTGCATAGGAATTTGCTCATAGTTTTTTTTAAACTATAGTCCGGCCCTCCAACGGGTCTGAGGGACAGTGAACTGGCCCCCTGTTTAAAAAGTTTGAGGACCCCAGCTCTAGATCAAGGTTCCCAAACCAACTTGGCCTGCTGCCTCCTCTTCAGAAAACAAAACAAAAAACGGGACGGTCTCGCCCACTTTGGACACCACGGCTCTCGATCGCATGCTGCTAAATATTGTGATTATCCTGCACAGAACACTCCTAGTCCTATTTTACAAACTATTGTTAATAATTGGTGATCTGATTGGGGTGGTAGTAGGGATTAAGTTGTGATCCCCAAAATATATGTTGTGAATTCTAACCCTGTGATTGTAATCCCATCTAGGAATGAAACACCTTGGTCGCCAGGCATTATGGGTGCCGAGTATGTCTTAATTACCTCTGGAAACTCAAGGAGCAGCAGGTAGAGATAGGGGGACAGATGCCAAGCCACATGAAGACGCCGGCCGGCAGGAACTGACTCTGAAGCGACACAGGGGTCCTCCTGCACCATGAGAAGGAAAGCCTTCCCCTAGCGCAGGGGAGGAGCCACATTTTACTGCCGAGGACCATTTGGCTATTCCTAACATCATTCTCGGGCCAAACAAAACTATCCACTTAATAACTACTCTGCTATATTTGGTCAAACATTTCATTAACTCACCCCTAATGGGATGGCAGAGCCCTGGTAGCATAGTGGTTATGCATTGGGCTCCTAACCACAAGGCTAGCAGTTCAAAACCACCAGCCAACTATTTGGGAAAAAGACAAGTTACATTCTCAGAAACTCTCTGGGGTGGTTCTACCCTGTCCTATAGGGTTGCTATGGAATGGCTGGAACTGTTTCTGGTGAGTGAGAAGAGTGATGATATCTGGTACTGATGATTTCTTGGGCCTTATATAGCCCTGAGTTTGAACCTCTAGCCCCCAGAACTGAGAAAAAATACATTGCTGTTAGCTAAGGCCTCAACTTGCTATTGGGGCCTTATTTCTATTATAACAGCATTAGAGAACTAAGACAGCTACATGAAATCTTTTCTATTGTTAAAAGCTACTCTTTAAGGAAAAGCAATACCAAATACACAGACGCCAAGTCGATTCCAACTCACAGTAACCCTACAGGGCAAAGAAGGCGTTCCAAAGCTGCACCCTGTATGAAAGCTGACTGCTGGCAGCTCAAACAACCACCCCTTCCCTTGCAGCTGAGCACCTAACCACTGCGCCCCCAGGGTACCTCTCTAATGCACACAGACCTTGACACTAGGGAGCGGACTGGATTGAAATGAAGTGCAAAGACGCCACTGTGACTTGCAGACGGGCACCTAACCACTGCGCCCCCAGGGCTCTTACTCTTCCAGTCATTCAATATCAACCAACGGAACAGATTCTTCAAAGCACTCATCATAAAGCTGGTCAAAATAAACAGCAAGATACTTCATGAGAGCACTCATCGATGGATCAGCAGTATAACCACAAAGGAAGAGTTCAGCATACAAATGATGGAAGCACACGGCAATATGGAAAGGAGTCCTGGTGGTGAGATGGGTTAAATATTATGCTGCTGGCAAAAGACCATTTTTTTAATGGAAGAAGAAAATTATCTAACACCCTCCCACGAGATACCACAAACATATTTACAAACATGAGCCGAGCACAAAATAACCTTTGCTGTTAGGACAAAGCTCAAAAGTGCTACAAAAACTTTACTATTTATGGTGACCTAATTTTGGTATGCCTAAATTTAAATACACAACATACTTGATATAGAAAGTCAGATTTATAAAAGAAATATAAACCAAGAGATGAGGTAGTTGACAAAAACAACTAAGTTAGCACGCTCCTTAGCAGATTTTCTGGTGGTGCTGTGGGCTGTTAACAAAGTGGTTGGTTCAACCCACCAACCCACTACTTGGGACAAAGTGAGGTTGTCTGCTTCCATAAAGATTTACAGCCTCAGAAACACTATATAAGGTTGCTATGAGTCAGAACAGACTCGATAGTTGGGATTTAACCCATTTCAGAAGCATGCCTTCTTTGGAAGTTGCATTAAAGACTGAGTATGGGGCAGGCCTTTTGAAGACAATATAACTAACTCCTGGCTCTAGCCCTTTACA